GTCATCGAAACCCTCATTTCGGATGTTAGATGGGGCAGTAAGACACTATTTGGGAGGGATTCCGAGAAGAATGGGGAGTTACAGTTGAAAAAGTACTCATTGGTTCTTTGCTTATAGCATATCCTGACAGATTGCAACATATGTGTGCTCAATTCCATGGGTTAATTGATTATATTACCCAGTTTAAACTAAACTTTTAGTAAACAATCTACCCAGAAGCTACAGATTGCAGATGATAATAATTCAAGTAAACAACTAGAAAAAGAGTAGGCATTAGTATTTCTACAAGAACCCTGTCAGCCTCATCATCATGAGGTTAAGGTGATTTAAACAGGGGGTGGGGAACCTTTTTTCTTCCAGGGCCATTTGGATATAACAACATTCAAGGGCCATACAAAATTATCAACTTAAAAATTAGCCTGCTATATTTGATCAAACATTTAATTAATTCACCCCTAATGCTTTGGCAGGACCAGACCAAATGATTTCAAGGGTCTTATACGGCCTACGGGCTGGATGTTGCCCAACCCTGATTTAAACAGATCTAATTAGACATTGGTTACCCAAAATTGAAATCATCAAGGAAGATTTTTGAAATAGGAATATAATTCTACTTTGCTTAAGATGAAGGCAACAACTTCATAGAATATACCAGAATTTATGTTAGGGTAGTTTACTAGGGGAAGATTGGGCCAAAGTGAACAGATGGCTCAGCAGTTTTGCACAAATTATTCTTCACTACCAAACCCTGTACAGTACTTTTTTTATAATATAATTTGTGTTCTCATGATTGAAAAGACAAAAGGGCCATGCCTCCTGGTAGCCTTGTGATAGATGGTTGCTTAAACTCGATACTGTTACCAGTTTGATATTTATCTCAGTTGTCATGCGATTCTGGCTGTTGCTCACAAAAATATTATGGCTACATTTTAAGGAACACAGATAATCATCAACTAGAAGGCTTTGATATGCTGCTTGTTAAGAACAATGACGTTAGTCAGAGGTCACAGCATGAAACTTAAAAAGGAAATGAAATCCAGGACACAGATATGGAGTTGGTTTTGTTCACATCTACATCTATACACTCATTCTCTCTCAGAAGTTCTTTCTTTCTTTCTTATTTTATGCATACATACACATATGTATTTAGCATGAAACACTGACAGAGCATGAAACACTGACAGATTATAGTGTAAATTTTTTGTAATACCTATATTGTGTGTATGAGATGGAGAAAAGACAAAATGTGAGGAAAAGATTTACTTCATAAACAGATTTTTCTAATCACTTCTAATGTTTTAAGTGACATCTATTTCAAATAATGTTGGAGGTTTTTGGTTAAGGGTAGTTTGCTTCATGCTGTATCTGTGCCCCTGCCTATGTCTGATGGTCTACAGACTTCCTCAGGAATAGGTTTTTTTTCTTCTTCATCTTTGTATATCAGTATCTATCATGAGTCATTCAAATGAAGCAAACTAAAGATTATATTGAAAATATAATGGCCCTAGTTGGTTTGGCTCAGTGGATAGAACGTCGGCCTGCAGACCAAAGGGTCCCGGGTTCGATTCCGATCAAGGGCACATACTTTGATTTCAGGCTCCCCCCTGACCCCCTTAGTCAGAGCACCTGCAGGAAGCAACCAATTGATGTGTTTCTCTCACGTTGATATTTCTCTCTGGCTTTCCCTCTCTCTTCCACTCTCTCTAAAAGAAAAAAAAAAATTAATGGAAAAATATCCTCAGGTGAGGATTAAAAAAAGAAAAAATAAATTAAAAAAAATTTTTTCTTGCCTTCAAGAAGTTCACATTATCATTAGGAAAACTATGAACACCTGCACAGTATTGGGAAAGTCACAAGAAGTTTGTGACAAATGGCAAAAATCATGGCAGTTTTAAATATTTAAAGATTCAAAATTATATAATGAGGGGCAAGAAAAAGGGGAAGTGACATGGTTAAAGCAAATGCAGTGGAACTTAAGCTGGGTTAAGGAAAAATAATGAGACAGATCATTTCGTGCACTGAACATCAGTAGGGGAATAGATGGTTCAGGGGGCCAAGAAAATTACCCTACACCTGGCTGCAGCACTTTATTTTAACAGAAAATCCACAGTCAATGCAGCTTAGGCAAAGACAGGCATGTTTCCAGGTGACAATCTTGTTGGAACCAAATGGTTATATCTATCCTATACTAATAAAAGACAAAGATGCAAATTGACCATACTTTCACTATGCCTTAAGCCACACCCACCAGCCAATCAGAGCGACTATGTGTAAATTAACCCAACCAAGATGGCGGCCGGCAGCCACGGAGCTGGAGCTAGCAGGAAGCTTGCTTGCTCCAGTGATGGAGGAAGCCAAGCTTCCCCACCTGCTGCGGCCCAGCTCTGAGCTCCACTGAAAGCAACAAAGTTTCAATTATAGAAGGTAAACAAACCCCAGATACCTGCTTTCAGCCGGCTGTGGCCACGGAGCTGGAGCAAGCAGGAGTGGGTTGCCCCTGGCCATGGAGGAAGCCAAGCTTTCCGCAGGCCTCCGCTAAAGGCAACAAAGTTTCAATTATAGAAGGTAAATAAATCCCAGAATAAAAGAAAAAAAGGAGAGGCTGGGAGCTTACGTCGCCAGGGTGCTTGGCCAGACTGAAAACAGCCCTCAGCCCCTCACCCAGACTGGCCAGGCACCCCAGTGGGGACCCCCCCACCCTAAAGGGGGTGTGGCCAGCCTGAAAACAGCCATCAGCCCCTCACCCAGGCTGGCCAAACCTCCATGGGGTGAGGGTCCCCACTGGGGTGGACATCCTCTGAGGGGTCCCACACTGCAAGAGGGCATAGGCCGGGCTGAGGGACCCATCGAGTGCACAAATTTTTGTGCACCAGGCCTCTAGTATATACAAAAGCCTAAGCTACCTGCCAACCAGCCAACTGGCTGGTAGCTATAACACACAATGACCACCAGGGGGCAGACGCTCAACACACAGGCATGGATACATGGAACAGACTGATGAATCTCAGAAAGAAGGGGGGAGGGAGTAAGGTGGGAAGAGATTAACCAAAGATCTTATATGCATACTAGGCCCGGTGCATGTCCCTGGGCCTCGCCTGCGGGGATCATGCCAAAACTGGCTCTCCGACATCCCTGGGGGCGTCGCGGATTGCGAGAGGATGCAGGCCAGGCCGAGGATTCGTGCACCGGGCCTCTAGTGTGTGAATAAAAGACTACAGGTTGAGATTAATTTGTTGAAGAACTTAAGTGTCATATAGGATATTATTAATGACTTCTTAGCTGGTAGGGAATGTTAGCTAATTGGACTGGTATAGATATATTGGGAGATGAGCATTGGGAGGGAAGCCCTTGAGGATAAGAATTTCTCCTAATATCTCATTTACATGTCTATTTATCCTTTTCGATTATAGCACAGTTCCCATAAGTAGAGACTTTTGTTCAGTTCTCTATACTGAGTTCCTAAAACAGTGTCTGGCACATAGTAGGTATTTAATAAATCTTGATTGCCTGAAGACCATTCAGGAGAGACTAGTTTAGTAATCCACCCGGATTCTTGGTGGAGCCTGACAACAAATTGGAGTTGAGGGCTAGGGGCTGAACTATGGTAACAAGGAAGCCAGAAGAGTGCGTGTGTTCCCGGTTTTCTTTCAAAAGTATTAGTTGTAGTAGAGCTGCTCAGAAGTGAGACATTCACTTCAGTTGGATGGCTGGAGCAAATTAGTAGTATGTATGCATGTTTATTTAAAGCTTTTAATAATATGTTATTAAGTCTCTTCTGAATATTTTGTTTAGTTAACTACTTTTAAAAGTTTTTTTTTAATATATTTTATTGATTTTTTACAGAGAGGAAGGGAGAGGGATAGTTAGAAACATCGATGAGAGAGAAACATCGATCAGCTGCCTCCTGCACACCCCCCACCGGGTATGTGCCCGCAACCAAGGTACATGCCCTTGACCGGAATCGAACCCGGGACCCTTGAGTCCGCAGGCCGACGCTCTATCCACTGAGCCAAACCGGTCAGGGCTTGTTTAGTTAACTACTTTTAAAGATAATAGTAAAATCAAACAAGACTGAAGCCTAAACAAAGATAATTTTTTGGTTTTTTTGCAGATTTTAGTGACAAATCACAGTATGTATGTCAGTGTGAATGTAATTTCTATCCTTTTTATATAGTTTCCCTCCTTTAAAAATCTGCCGAAGCCGGTTTGGCTCAGTGGATAGAGCGTCGGCCTGTGGACTGAAGGGTCCCAGGTTCGATTCCGGTCAAGGGCATGTACCTGGGTTGCGGGCACATCCCCGGTGGGAGATGTGCAGGAGGCGGCTGATCGATGTTTCTCTCTCATCAATGTTTCTAACTCTCTATCTCTCTCCCTTCCTCTCTGTAAAAAATCAATAAAATATATTTTTTTTAAAAATCTTATGTATACTGCTCTGTAGTTAATAATCTGCTTTCACATCTATTTAATCCTTAAAAGAAGCTTATTATGTGAGGTTAGTAGGAATTTTTGTCCCAAATAACAGTTGGGGAAAAGGGTTCAGAGTGAGTTAGCCCCAAATCACATACTTAATGCATGATTAAATTTGTATTTGGAGTTAAATGTAGAAAGAGAATAGAAGAGTATTTGTGAGAGCAGGCTCTGGAGTCAGAACTGGATTTTAGTCCTAGTTTTACCACTTAATAAACCCTATGATCTTAGCCAATGTATATGTCTTTATGGCCTCGGTTTTCTTATCAGTAAAATGGAGTACCACTTTTAGTTAGTTCCTATAGTTTTGCATGGTCCAGTATGGTAGCCACTTGCCACATGTGGCTATTTAAGCAGTCTTGCTCGTACTCTTATTTTTTTTTTTTTAATGATTACATTTTGAAATGATAGTACTTTGGACATGTTGGGATAAATGTATTATTAAAATTAATGTTATCTATTTCTCTTCACTTTTTAACATGTCTGTTAGAAAATTTTAAATTACATATGTGCATTATATTTCTATTGGACAGTGCTGCTCCAGATCAGGGATTGACAAACTTCAACCCTCCAAATCAAGCCAGGTGTCTATTTTTTTAAATAATATTTTATTGGAACATAGTCATACTCATTCAGTTATACATTGTGTATGGCTACTTTCATGCTACAGTGGCAGGGTTGTGTGGTTGCTACGTGTATAATCATATGGTCTACAAAGCCTAAAATATTTACTGTTTTTATAGAAAAAGTTTGCCAACCCATTCTCTAGACCAGTGGTTCCCAACCTTTTTTTGGCCATGCCCCACCTAAGCATCTCTAAAATCCTGATGCCCCCCCCCATGACATGTAATTCTTATTATTCAAAAATTGAACTCCTATTCACGTGGAGGAAGCCTAAAAGGCCATCAACTTGGTCTAAGCAAGCTTCCAAAGAACATGGCATCCATGAAAGAGGAAAATAAAAGAATGAAAGGACAGTTGAAGTACTGAGGAAGAAATCACTAAGAAATTGTTAAAAAAAATAATAATATGAAGTGATATGAAAAGATAGCAAATAAAGTTTCAAAAATATAATAGAAAACTGAAATGCATAAATATAGTCACAACTAGAGGCCTGATGCATGAAATTCGTGCAAGGGGCTTGGCCCTTGCAGCCCCGGCTGCCTCACGGCCCCCTCTCCTCCCCCCACCCCTCACCCACTGGTTGTTCCGGAAGGTCATTCCGCTGTCCAGTCTAATTAGCATATTAGCTCTTTATTATATAGGTTATATATATATACTGTATATGAGGCCCATAGAACTATAAGACATGCAAAAAATTCACTGTTAATAACTCATTCTCAAATTGCCCCCTTTTGGGGCGTGTGCCCCACATTGGGAACCACTACTCTAGACTGTGTATTGACAGATGCTCAATGTGCTATCTTTATTTAATAGTGGATATCAGAGACCAACAGAAGATTCATGGTGGGTGCCAGTGGGAAAAAGGTAGCAGGGAGGGACTGCTAATGGGTGTCACGTTTCTTTTTTGGGATGATGAAAATATTCTGGATTAGATAATGATGGTAGTTATGCAACTTCAAATATACTAAAACCACTGAATTATATTACGGTATGTGGATGATATCGTAATTTTTAAAAAGTGGATATGAACCTGGTTTGGTAGATGTGATAAAACAGGACATTATACATGATTCATGTTAATGATAATAAGAACATACAATGAAACAAACAAATGCAAATGAACTATGGGGAATGTAAACAAAATTTAATAATTTTCATATGCTCCCATTATCAAATATATTTTTAATCACCTTTAAGAGGTCATGTCACTTGAGAATATTTGCAAGTAGTTTATTGATAGAAAAAGCAGTTAGCTGTCATTATTGCTTATTCAGTCTGTTTACTGCTTACCCATAAAAAAGACTTATGAAAATACAGTCTCTTTTTAGTTGTAAACTTAACTTTAAGATAGTGTGCAACAATACACATAAAGATAATCTCAATAAATAGTTAAATGAGTGAATACAAAGTATAAATAAAATCACTTACGACTATTAATTTTCTGGAAACAATGTAAATATAGAAATCATGGCTTTAGAAGTTTATTAGCAAGCTTTTGAAATGAGAAAATAATAGAAGGGAGTTGGCAGGCCATTCCAAAATGTCAACATCTTGTGTGTTTTTTCTTAAATGAATTATTAAGCATCTACTACAGGTTGGGGCAAAGTAGGTTTACAGTTGTGAGTACACAAAACACAGTTTATTTCTTGTATTCTTTATTATTGTGTTATTTTCCATATGAACAACTGTAAACCTACTTTTGTCCCACCCTGTATATACAAATTCTAGATATTTGCACATAGCTTTTAAACTGACAAAATATTACCTACTTTATACAGTTGACTCAATTTATTATACATAAGGTATGCCAATAGTCTTTATGAAATCCAAACCCATTAATCAGTACATCATTTTTCTTCTGAAAACACTAGCAATAGGTTTTTATTTTAGTGCTCTAAAAACGCCAAATTATAGCACTTTATTTATTTATTATTTAAATTAGGATAGCATGATGTCTAAGGGCACAGACTTTGGAGCCAGATAGACCTGTTTCCAAATTTGACTACCATTTACTGTGTGACCCAGAACAGCCTCTTTAATATTTAACATCTCTAAGTCTTCATTTTCTCATCTCTAAAATAGGAATAATACCTTCTCCATTGAGTATTTTTAAGGAATAAATAGTGTAAAGTACTTAGCATTTAGTAACTACTCAATAAATGGTAACCTTGTATTATTGCCATTTTAGTATGTTAATTTTTTTAATCAAACATTAATTTTTTGGTTGTCAGTATCATACATTTATTATGTATTTTACTGACTCCTACCTTTCCAAAAACATGAAATATTAAGTAACATTTTATTTTACTTTCAGTCAAAGAAAAATAAGAAGAAATCAAAGTCAGATGCTAAAGCAGTGCAAAACAGTTCACGCCATGATGGGAAGGAAGTTGATGAAGGTACTTGAGCAAGTGAAAGGACTATAGAAAAAAATTTAATCTTTTTTTTTTTTTTACCAAGGTGCATTGTATCAAAGGTGCATTTGTTTTGCTTAATCTTGTATCTAGCTCTTCTTTTTAATAACTATAGATCTTAATGTACAGATCTATGACATTGTTAGGAAACACTTTTTTATCTAAATTATTTAAGGATCTAACAGTGCTTTTCCTAAAAGGAACTGCCTTGAAACTTAAGGTCTAACTCAATATCTTGAGCTTAAAAAGCCATTTGTTTTGTCTTTGTTTTCTAGAAATGTAGTTTAGGTTTTCCCTCATTGTTCTTAAATATGCTATCCCTAGAAGGCTGTGCACAAATTTTTTGAGTGAGCATTTATTGTTATTGCCTAATAAACCCATTTATTAGTAGTTATGTATAACACTCTCCTATCAGTTTTACTGAGCAAAAGAAAAATATACAAGATGACTTCTGTGTCATTTTTTTCTAAGCCATAGGAGATAGATTTGATAAAAATTATGAGAATAAATAATGGCAGTTAGCTGCCTAAAACAATATCTTGAGATTAGAATAAATCTTAGGATAAATTGGTATAATCAGCACTCCTGTTAAATAGCATATTTAATATATAAATTTATCATGCTATTTTGTGTGCACTGCTCCATTCCCCTGTCTTCCCCCCACCCCCTCAAAAAAAAACACAACACTACAACTTTTTGTTTTCCCCTTACTGAATAACTTTTTTTTTTCTGGGGCTATGTCAGGAGCCTGGGAAACTAAAATTAGTCACAGAGAAAAACGACAGCAACGTAAACGTGATAAGGTACAGACTGATTCTGGTTCATTGGATTCAACTATCCCTGGGATAGAAAATACCATCACAGTTACCACCGAGCAACTTACAACTGCATCATTTCCTGTTGGTTCCAAGAAGAATAAAGGTATATTAGTGGAACATAAGAGTGATACATCAAATCCAACTCCTTTAAATCTGATGTACAAAATATCATTACATCAAAATCTGATTATTTTGAACTAGTTATATCATTGTGCTGATAGACCCTTCTGAGAGCATTGTGGACCATGTCTTGGTTTATCTGATACCAGCAGTGGTTATTTGTTACATACTGCTTAATGAATGGCCTATTCAATTAAAATTGCCTTGAGTCACATGAGAAAATGATGTTATTTCTTTTTTTCTCATGTATATTGCTTTGCCCCAACTCTCTTACATTTCCATTTCTTATAGTGGACAATACGTTAAATGCAATTATTTGTAATCATTCTGCATGTGGTGCTTATACTCCAAGATGAAACAAGCATGTTCTGGTAGTGCAGGTTCTATCTGGATTTCTCACCACCCCAAATGTTTGAGAATGCCGTAGGTGTTTGATAAAGCTAGATTGGAACTTCAGAGGTTCTTCCCAAGTATCTCCAATGTTCAGATTATCTAATAGTGATAACTTCCTGGTAGCTCTTTACATTGCCATCATTTTTACCCTGGAGACATAAGTTGGCAGAGTTATACTGTTCAGCTTGCTTTAAGGCATTGACTTAAACTTCTTCACCTTTTTATTAATTGCCTCCCCACCCCGCACTTGTCTCTAGCCCACTTTGTTTGGTTTGTTCCCTTTTTATGTTTTTGCTTGTTGAATTGGTGGAATTTATTGCTTTGGTACAGAAATGACATCTACTTACCCATTTTCACTGTTACATATTAGCCATACTTTAGTGTTTCTGTTGGTCACCCTTTTTCAATTGTCTTATGCATGCCTTCCTTGCTAGCACAATCCTGTGTCATGCTGGTTTTGTGATATATTGTGATTATTATGCTTTTCAGTGTCAGAGAAATTGTATGTTTGTTAAAACATGTATTCTCACCTCATGCCACAGTTTCTAAGTCCTGGTCCCAAATACTGACAAAGTTCTTTAGTTGATGTGCTTGCTTCCATACTTGTTGAAATGGCAGCTGGTATTGTGGTGGCAAAATGAGGTGGCAAAGTTGAATTCAGTTACAGAGCCCAGTTCTCTAGTTCCTACTTAAAAGAATCTTGATATAAGAGCAGGCTCTATTTACTTGGGAAATTTTCCAGGTCCTTTGTTGGCATTTTCATTGACTCAGAATATGGTAACTAGAGAACTAAATTCCTTAAGGACATGTGAAATTACATTGTGAGTAGAAATGGCTCTTTTCCAGTGAAAGAATTTAGTGCTTAAAGGAACAATTTATTATAAATAGTAAGAAAATTGATTTGTATGTTACTCCTAATTTAATGTGCATAGTGGCCTGTTTAGTATTAAATAAATTTTATTTCTATTTCAACCAGGTGAATCTCATCTAAATGTTCAAGTTAGCAACTTTAAGTCTGGAAAAGGAGATCCTACACTTCAGGGTGAGAGAAATTACATGTAACTTAAATTGAAGGCCCATCAAAAATAGAAACTTACACGCATGTCTCTTTCCTCACATGAGTGACACAGAAAGGGAAATGGGGCTTAATGGTTTTTAATTACTAAAGTAATATAATCACAGTCTAGAGATTTTAGAAAATAGATAAAAAGTAAAATCACTCCCACTTCTAATAGTCTTTGATATGTTCTAGTTGTTTACCCCTCTCCTCCATATGTGAAAACATTATTTTAATATATACAGTTTTGATTCTTGCTTGCCTCATTTAAGCCAGTGGAGAAAAGAAGGATTTTTTTTTTTTTTTTTGGACTTGTGTTTAATATAGGCATATATAGGATAAAGGCTTTTCCACTCTTTATTAAGAAAAAAGCCTTAATACCTATAACCTTTGAAACTGCTTCCTTAACACTATCAAGTATTTCACAATAAGTATAGTCTAAAGTTATACAGTGCTTCACAAATAGAAAACATACTTTATTTACTTGTTTATGATAAAGATTGAATTAAATTGGTGATATACCTTACCTAAAAACTAAAGTGTTGTAGTACAACTTAAATTCAGAAATGAAAAGGCACCTTCTCATTTTAGGCTTGTTCTTAACACTGTCAGCTTTCTTCTTTCCCATGGTTCTGAGTTCTGACTACACATTAAAATCATCTAGGAAGCTTAGAAAAACAGCAATCGTGTATATAAAAAGGAACATAGACTTGTATACGCACACACACACCTACATGCATTTATATATACATACAGACACATAAGCACATATAATTGTATACAAGTATATATGTACATACATACTAACGTCTGGATTCCACCCCTAGAGATTCTGATTTTAATTCGTTTGGGCTGAGACTCCAGTGTCTACTTTTTAAAAAAAATATTTATTTTTATTGATTTCAGAGAGGAAGGGAGAGGAAGAAAGAGGTAGAAATAGAAGCATCAATGATGAAAGAAAGTCATTGATCAGCTGCCTCCTGTGCACCCCCTAATGGAGATGGAGCCCGAAACCTGGGCATGTGCCCTTGACTGGAATTGAACCTGGGACCAAGCCAACCTTCTATTCACTGAGCCAAACCAGCTAGGGCTCCAGTGTCTACTTTTAAGAAAATTTTCACATAACAAGTCTATAAGCAGGCTGGATGTAATATGAGGTTACTTTTCATTTCTAATATTATATACAATGTTGCAGTAAACATCTTTCATGCATGAAAAAAAGGAAAAAATTTTCAGTTGATTTTAGTGATTTTAGAATTAGTGCTTTATACATAGTAAATATGTAAATATTTAAGTAAAGAACCTATAACTAAGATGAAATCTTTATATTTTAGTGGGTAAGTATTCTGAGTATACAGACTATATTGGTTTCCTTTTTGTTCTGTTGCATTTCCTTTGAACAAGTCATTCTGCTGTTGAAAACATTAGTGAATATATATTAAGGTCAAACCTCCTCTTAGTTTTTAAATTAAAAGTCATTCATGCTGGTCATGTCACTTTTTAAATTCTTTATTTTCTTCTTTCAAGCTCAGGCTATTCAGAGGGCAGTATGGGGAAATAATGAGTGATAAATATAAACTGAGCAATCCTAGAAATTTTAAAATATCCCAGTTTTAACAAAGAGTCATGTACCAGTTTTTAATCTTTATTTTCTCTCTTTAAGTTTCTTCAGGATTGAATGAAAACCTCACTATAAATGGAGGAGGCTGGAATGAAAAGTCTATAAAACTCTCCTCACAGATAAGTGCAGGGGAGGAGAAGTGGAACTCTGTTTCACCTGCTTCTGCAGGCAAGAGGAAAACTGAGCCATCTGCTTGGGGTCAAGACACTGGAGATGCTAATGCGAATGGAAAAGACTGGGGAAGGAGTTGGAGTGACCGTTCAATTTTTTCTGGCATTGGTAAGAAATGTTAGAAATTTTTAAATTCATTTAAAATTGTTTATCTGGTACATTGTGAATTTCCCAGGAATGAAAAAAGATCCATAAGTATAAAATTTAGTAATACCATACAGAAATAATAGCAATAATTAACTCATCTCAGGTCCTTCTTATGGAGCAAACTAAGTAAATAATAGCATTTATTATTTGCTCTTGGCTTAGTGCTTTCACATACTTTATCACATTTGATTACCCATGTAGCTAATGGGTATAATTATATTTTTAGTGATGTAATAAGTGTAATGTGTGACCAGTCGTTTTTATTAATTTCAGTAGTTTAATGCCTCTTTGTAATTAATTTTTCCCCTGGGTTTTAAAACAAAGATCAGTAGTTGAGGCTCTTTTTTCTGTTGAGAGCCATCAAATTAAAAGCAACTTAATTTCAGGGGTGGGTGGGTGGGTGTATTATGAAAAGAAATGCATGTTTAATATGGAAAACTGCAGAAAGAGAAGAAAAAACTCAGTGTTACTGTACCACCCAATGCCAACCACTGTATTTTTGTGTATTTTATGGCCTTTTTCCCCCCCTGTGTACAATTTTTCTTTTACATAATCCAAATCAGATAGGCATTTTTATGTTCCCACCTCCCACTTAACATTGTTACATAAACATTTTCCATTTTGTAAGTGTTTTTATTTAATGGCCCTATAATACATTGTATAAGCATAGCATAAGTTACTAAATAGTTTTGCGTTATTGGAGAAATTTTTCTATTTTTTTAGTCATAAATAACATTGCATTGAATATATTTGTTTTGGGATTATTTCTTTAGGATAGATTCTTGGGAGTGATATTATATTAAAGGGAATATGAATGTTTATAATGCTACATGACATATATCAACATATTTTCTAAGAGAGTTCTAATTTATATATCAGTACCAGTATGAGTGCCATTTGTCATATGCTGACTAAGGTTGGGTATTCTTATTTCTAAAAATCTTTTCTAATTGATAAGCAAAAAGAACATACATTGTTTTTGGTTAATTTTTTCAAATTACTAATGAGGCTGAATATTTTTGACAACTTTTTTTTATTAAATCTTTATTGTTAAAAGTATTACATATTTTCACAACTTTCTTGATCATGTCTATTTCTTTTATGAATTTCTATTCATGTTCTTTGCTTCTTAGTGATTTTTTTTATTAAGTTGTAATTTCTATGCATCAAAGATATTTTTTTTCTGTTGTGCTTGCCAGATAATTTTTGTTAGTACATTCCTTTTAGTTTAAGTCGAAAAAAAAATCACTTCTTCCTGTTATTTGCTTTTCCCATCACTTTTAAGCTTAAAAAGACTCATGTTGACTAATGTCTCCACGAAGCAAACTTTAGATCATTTACTAATACTGTTCTTAAGCTTGCTCTCCCATCCTCCCTCTGCAATATCCAAAAATTGTGTAGGAATACCAAAATTTGGAGGAAGAAACAATCCCTAAATTCCCAGCTAATTTCAGCAGTGAGGAAAGCATAAATTTCTATGCTGTAAAGCAACCAATGGTCAAGTTTTATCAAGTAATGTTAAGAACTGTGACCTATTTGCAACTTATTTACAAAAGCTATGTGGCATTTTCATAATTAGGACATAAAATAGGTGGTATTTGCTTAATGTTGTTAGAGATGAAATTAAGCAGCAGATTAGAGTTCCTGCTTAGATGGATTAGGACCTTTGTTGAAATTGAAAGAGAACTATGAAATTAGGTTTGCTCAGGAGTGTCTGACATCATAGATGTATATGCTCCTTAAAATATTCATATAGAAGTAAGAAATCTCTTGGAAATGTTGAGAAGATAGCATGGTGTAGTGGAATAAGCATGGACTACCTCAAATAGATCAACTTGGTATGAATCCCTATTCTTCCACTGGCTTTTATGGAAATTAGGGTAGTTTATTTAACTTCCTGTATGAACCTCATATTTAAGTACTTGTGAGGATTTGATAAATGAATGTCAAGTATAAAGTTCAGTCCCTGGCCCAAAGTTGTAGCTTAATTGTGGTAGATAATAAGGTAGTTTGCAATGGTAGAAAGAGCATAATAGGCTTTGGAAATCAGCCTAAGTTCCTGTCTTGGCTCAGCTGTTTTCTAACTGTCAGCAAGTTACTTAACTACTCTGAAACTTTGCTAGCAAGTTTGCCCTAAAGATTAAAAGTGGTTGGTGTAAAGAGCCAGTACATAATAAACATTCACTAAATAGTAGCAATTGCTATATTAAGTGGTTCTAATTTCTAAGGTTATATAATATTGATACCATAGTTTTAAATCTGTACAAATCTTTTAAGTTTCATTGCAAATCAAAGATTCCAAGTGACGTTCTTTATTTTAACAGCTGCTTGGTCTAGTGTGGATAGGGGAATGAATACCTCTGAACAGAATTCTGCTTCTTTTGCATCTCTCACACTTAACTCTGCTGTTTCTGGTATGTGAAAACAGTCTTTCATTTAGTTAACAAAAAATTTCTGTTTAATTTAGCTCTTGCTATTTGAAAAGTAGTGTCAAGTATTGCTATCAATATAATAATAGATGTATAATATAAATGACAGAGGCCTTAATAAAAGGGGAAGAAAGACCTAAGTTCTTAATCTGCAAGTGACTGAGTTCCTTTCTGCAGTGGACATAAGATTCCGTGGCCCAACATAACTGGAAGTGCTTTGGCACACAGACAAGTACAAATGGAAGGCCTTCCTTTCAGGGTCAAGATACTCTGCTGTTACTAGTGTACTCCTGCCATACTTGTAATTTGGCATTTTGTTTCTATTTTCACTTATTCATCGTAAGTTTATAGTGAAGCTTATATGGGCCCTCACATAATCACTCTACTTGAGTATATATTGATTAGAAAGTATATTATTGCTAGTAAACTTCTAAAATTTCAGCATAACTTAAATGGATATGCCTTTTATTAATAGTATAGAAGCTATAAGTACCTAACAAATATTACTTAAACATGGAGAGATGTTTAGTTTGTAATGCTTGGTTGATGTTGGAATTCATGGACCCAGCGTACTAATTATGTGGTTCCCCAGTGTCTGGAGTCACTAGTCTAGAAAAGGGGTCAGCAAACATTTTCTGTAGAGAGCCCAATAGTAAATATTTGAGGCTTTGTGAGCCATACTATCTCTGTTGCAACTACTGAATTGTATCATAACAGGAAAGCAGCCAGAAGTGATACATAAACAGAGGAGTGTCTGGTTCTGAAATATTAAATTCTTTTGATTTTTTTTCCAACCACCTAAAAATCTGGTATTATTCTTAGCTCATAGGGTATACAAAAGAAGGGATGGCTGGATTTGGACTATGGGTAATAGTTTGCCAATTCCTAGTCTCAGAGTACATTTTACTTCCAGAGGTACAAGTTAATTGCTGTCTTCATTTGGTGACTTGTACAACATAGGTGCTATTCCCTTCATATATTCAGAGAAAGTAGCATGGGCTGCTAAAGAAATAGCAACAGTGTTACTATAGCGCCTCTAAGCAGTACATGTGCTAATTATATATGAATTTTATAGTGTTACTCTGTTAAAATTTACATAAAAATATATAACTATTGAGTATATCAAGCAGTTATATTAGTGGAATGCTAGTAAAATTTGTTAGTAAAGACTTTGATACTAACAGGTATTTTTTTTAACCAATTCTTTATATCAGTGACTCTGAATCCAAAGTGAATATTAGAGTCACCTAAGGATTCTGATACAGAGATTCTTATTCAGAAGGCCTGGGGTATATATATCCTGGATGAAGAACATTTGTATTCTGAAATGAATTTATGGCTATAGAGCAGGGTGTTTTGACCTGGCACCCATGAATTTATATGTCCCTAAAACTATATGCAATTTTTTGTGTTTACCACAGCTGTTATCAGATTCTTAAGGACTATATGACCACCACCCCCCCTCACTTCTTCTCCACCCACCCAAAAAAAGAAAAGTAAAAACAGAAAACACTTAGAATATAGCTGACCCTTGAACAGTGCAGGAGTTAGGAACATTGACACTCCACACACACACCCCTGCACAGTTGAAAATACGCATGTAACTTGACTCCCCCAAAACTTGACTACTGATAAGCTACTGTTGACCGGAAGCCTTACTGAAAACATAAAGTGTGTTAACACATATTTTGTATGTTTTATATATATTATATACTGTAGTCTTACAATAAAGTAAGCTAAAGAAAACTGTTGCGAAAATCATAAGGAAAAGAAAGTATTTACAAAAATTTTACTGGAAAAAAAATTGTGAATAAGTGGACCCACGCCATTCAAACTCATATCATTCAAGGGTCAACTGTATTCTCTTTTCATTAAATGCACCTGAATTTAACTTGGTCTCTAAACCACCAGCATAACTCTTCTTATCTCTTTGGCTTCTCACTGCCTTAACTCTCTAGAACAGCGGTTCTCAACCTGTGGGTCGCGACCTCTTGAGGGTCAAATGAGCCTTTCACAGGGGTCGCCTAAGACCATCGGAAAACACATATATAATTACATATTGTTTACAGTAGCAAAGTTACAGTTATGAAGTAGCAACGACAATAATTTATGGTTGTGGGTCACCATAACATGAGGAACTGTATTAAAGGGTCATGGCATTAGGAAGGTTGAGAACCACTGATCTAGAATAATCATCTCTCTCTTCTTTAACTTTTCCTTAGGCAAAAAATTCTAGCAAACTCAGACATTTTCTAGTTCTCTCCTTCAGGGTTCTAAGGATATAGACTACCCTAAAACATCCAGGATTTCTTTGGTGCTTTATCATTTTCAATTAAGAAGAGAGACAAAACTTTTTTAAAATTTATCTTTATTGTTGAAAGTATTACAGATTTCCCTTTTATTTCCCCATTGACCCCCTTCATCCTGCACCCGTTGCCCCAATAAAACTTTTTTGACCTTTTGAAATATATAACTAGTTTGAAGAATATATTATAAAAGACAAAATCTAATGGATTGGTACTAAGGAAAATATATTTCTTATTAGTGAATTAGATCAAATGATTGTCATGTGTAATCTAAAATTACCCTTAATTCTACTTTTCCTTTATCTTAACTCTTATAATGTCTGAGTTTTGTTTTTTTTTGTTTTTTTTAGGAGAAATAAAAAAAAAATTAAGTCTCCGTATGCAAAGTATAGAATTGTTATGAAACATCATTAGAAAATTCCATTTTTAATTTTATTGCATTCGTTTTCATTTAAGGGTCTACTGCTGAGCCAGTTTCTCAGTCTACCACTTCTGATTATCAGTGGGATGTTAGCCGTAATCAGCCCTATATCGATGATGAATGGTCTGGGTTAAGTATGTCCTTTTAAAAATTATCAGTTTGGGGGTTTTTCTGTTTGTTTTTGTTTCTTTTTCAGAATTTCTAGCTTCCTGAATTCATGCTCTATATTTTTAATTTTAATCCTACTTTCTAACCTTTTAGGTCATAGTAATCTAATCTAATACCAAATGTATTACTTGTAAACTAATTGTTGAATACCTATAGAATTAAAACTAAATTCACTTTTTATGATTGAGATATTTAAACATGAAATTGTCTTATAGTTGCTCTAGTTTTACAATTTTTGTTTTAAGTGAATGTTCTAAAATATATCGGAATGGATTTGAATTTGTGAGGCGTGCAAGTTTTTTTATTGGTAGAAAACCATTTCTTTAGCCTAATTTCTAATAGAAGCATAAGAACATTAAAGGCAAGAGTTATTTAACAAAACAAAAACAAAAAAAGGGAAAAATATAATGGTTTTTATGTTAGAAAGCTCATACTATCTTTTTTTTTTTAATTGGATTTTTTTTAAAACTCCAAACCTCCGAATTTACTCCTTTCTCAGAATTTTTACAGCACATCATTTTTTCTGTTATTTATTTAGCATTTACTTTTGGAATTTTCTACCATTTTCGCCTTGATTAAAATTTTTTTTAAAGAATATGTTTTGGCCCTATCCAGTTTGGCTTAGTGGATATAGCGTCAGCCTGCAGACTGAAGGGTCCCGGGTTTGATTCTGGTCAAGGGGACATGCTCGGGTTGTGGGCTCAACCCCCCAGTAGGGCCGTGCAGGAGGCAACCAATAATGGTTCTCATCATTGATGTTTCTATCTCTCTCACCCTCTCCCTTCCTCTCTGAAATCAATCAAAATATATTTAAAGAAAGAAAAAGTGTGTTTTGTTTCTTCAAGTAGAGTTGAAATCTCTGAAGACAGGAACTCTCGCTCTTTTATATCCTCAGTACCTAGTGCAGCACTTTTACACAGGTGTTCAGTAGTAATAATGATTATAGCAAACATGTGGCTATGTGCCAGGCACCGCTCTAAATATATATATTAGAGAGGAAGGGAGAGGGAGAGTTAGAAACATCAATGATGAGAGAGAATCATTGATCGGCTTCCTCCTGCACGTCCCCTACTGGGGATCAAGCCCGCAACCTGGGGATGTGCCCTGACTAGGAATCGAACCAGTGACCTCCTGATTCATGGGCTGATGCTCAACCACTGAGCTACACTGGCCGGGCACTGCTCTAAGTCTTGTAACTACTGTTAATTTAGTGCTTATAACAATTCCATGAAGTGGGTGTTATTTTTTCCCCCATACTTACCATATTAAGAAACTGAGGCAAAGGAAAGTTACCTAACTTCCAACCTGGCCACACAGCTCAAGTTAAGTGGAGGAGATGATATCAAACTTTCGTAGTCTAGCTCCAGAGTTCATGTTTAAACACTACATGGTACAGCCTTGGTGATGATTGTAATCATGAAGGTAAGCTCGAAACAGCACAAGGATTAGTGTGTACACTGATTAGTCTCTATATAGATTAGTTGAAGCACAATTCTTATAGTTTAAGGGAGATGAAGTTGAAAAGGTAGATTAGGGAGGACCATGTTGTGAAAAGCCTTGAATTGCTGGCTAAAGATTAGGAAGCTGAGGGTTGGAGTTTCTGGTTTAGAAGGTGTATCCCAGTTCTAGTCCTGACTTTAAAATGTAGTACCTCATATGGCTTGGACTTTTTCTTCTCACTTATCTTGGAATCTAGATTAATTGAGTTGTAAAATGGAGCAAAAGAAACTTTGGGAAGAATGATCAAGTTTATGCCCAATAGAATTGAGGCGTGATTAAAGAACAATAGGAGTGACTGTAAGAAAATAGCAGGAGTGAGGTGGAAATGTCTTGGGCAGCTGTGGTATGAGGCTGAGGAAAACTGAGCAAACAAGGCTCTAGACTTCTCAACTTGAATAGAACAACTCCTCTTTCATCTCTTTAACTATTCTTGTAATACGAAAAATATGATTGGCTGCTACAAGACTGAGAAACATGTATCCACATGACTCTGTACTTAAAGTAGTAAGTATCAGGAATACCATCTTTCTCAAGCTTGTTATGCTGTATTGGCAGTCTTTTAAGTCCAAAGTTTCTCTTTAACCTCATTTCCTGTGTGAATTTTATTTTGTGTGTTGTCATCATTAATGTGGCTAATGTTGGTACTCGGTGAATGTACTTATTCCTTCTAAATTTGTAGACGGCATGATTTAATATTTGAGATTATTAATCCACAAAGTGTGTACACACATACACACACACTAGCTTTACATTTCACAGTGTAATATGATTAATTTATTGACTCTTTGCCAGCTGGTGTGGGTCAGTGGTTGAGTGTCAGCCCATAAGCCAAGAGGTCACATGCCTATGTTGCGGGCTTGATCCCCAGTAGGGGGCATGCAGGAGGCAGCCAATCCACAATGTTTCTATCTATCCCTCTCCCTTCCTCTCTCTCCAAAAATCAATTAAATCTATATATATTGCCTGTCTGGTTTGAGGCATAGACATTATTATATGACAAAAAGGCACTGATTCTACTCAGGCACTTGAATATAAGGTTAAGATGCTACAGTATAGCATCTTATATTTTTAAGGGCAGATGTTAATCTATCAGTTATCTTGGCCGTAAAAAAACATCATCATAACCCCTATAAAAAGTGAGATTTTGAATAGAACTTTGTTTTTGTTGGCACAGCATAATGAAGGGGTTTAAGAGCATGAGGCTTGCCCTAACTGGTTTGGCTCAGTGGATAGAGCGTCGGCCTGCGAACTGAAGGGTCCCAGGTTCGATTCCGGTCAAGGGCATGTACCATGGTTGCGGGCACATCCCCAGTAGGGGGTGTGCAGGAGGCAACTGACCGATGTTTCTCTCTCATCGATATTTCTGACTCTCTGTCCCTCTCCCTTCCTCTCTGTAAAAAATCAATAAAAATATTTAAAAAAAAAAAAAAGAGCATGAGGCTTGAGGACTATGTGGGCTTAAATCTTACTTCTTTATCTTTGCCCTAAGACATGGCTCTATGCCTCAGTTTCATCATCTGTAAAAATAGTAGTTCTCCTTCCTCCCCTGGCAGAGTTGTTGAGAGGATTAAATAATATAATACATATTAGAACATTACAATACACTTAGAACACTGCCCTATGTTCTAATATTCTAGTAAATATTGAGTATGTGCTACTATGCTGTTGTTGATGTCGTCTTCTAGAGGCAAAATTAGTCTGTTCTATGGGGTTAATTAATTAGTATTGTGTGTTTAAACACTGGAGAATATCTTTTTAATTAATGTAATTGTTGTGTTTTATTAAAGTTAATGAATTAAATTCTGGTAAGAAACAGCTAACAGCCATTTTCTTGCTGAGATAAAATAGAGATTAGCTATGAGATGTTTAAACCTAGACATTGTTCCACAAGCGAATTAAATGGAGACATACATTGCTTACCATTTTGAAGACAGCTAATATGGTTCTTTGAAAAGATATTGGCAGCCCTGGTCAGTATTGTTCAGTGGTTAGAGTGTTAGCCCTCAGACTGAAGGGTCACAGGTTCAATTCCCAGTCAGGGGCACATACCTGGGTTATAGGTTTGATCCCAGACCCTGCTCACAGGAGGCAACCAATCAATGGGTCTCTCTTACATGGATGTTTTCTCTCTCTCTTCCTCCCTCCCTCCTTTCCCCTCCCTCCCTAAAAATCAATGGAAAAAATATTCTCTGGTGAGGATTAACAAAATAAAAAAAAGGAAGAAAAGATGTTGGCAAACTAATGGGGGAATTTTGAAAAATACGAAATTATTTATAAACTAGAGGCCCGATGCATGAAATTCAAGAGTAGGCCTTCCTTCCCTTGGCTGCCAGCACCGGCTTCCCTCTGGCACCCAGGACCCAGGCTTCCCTCTCAGCCCCAACTTCGTCCAGAAGGTCATCCAGAAGGATGTCCAGTATAATTTGCATTTTACGCTTTAATTATTATAGATAGATGGAGAGACCTATACTATGAATGAAGCTATACTATGCAGTTTTAAGGAAACTATGTCTAAGAAGTTAGCAGATTAGTCCCATGAATCTTAAGAATTAAGTGTTGAGAAGTCTCCTGGTGACAGTGTTTAGGTTTAGATGATTGATCTGTTGTATTAAAATAGTTTTCATTTGACCTAGTTAATTAAAAAAAAACAACCTGAGATCAATAAACATGGAAACATCACCAATGAAGTTTTTTTAAATATGTTTTTATTGCTATTAGAGAGGAAGGGGGAGAGAGAGAGAAACATCAGTGATGAGAGAGAATCATCGATTGGTCATCTCCTGAAAGCCCCCCACTGGGGATCAAGCCTGAAACCCCAGCATGTACCCTAAATGGGACTCGAACCGTGACCTCCTAGTTTATGGGTCAGCGCTCAACCACTGAACCACACCAGCTGGGCACCAATAAAGTTTTGCAAAGCCAATAGAAATTATGCTTCTGTTAATGTTCTTATGGAAGTTAAACCATAGTACAGTTACTCTCCGAACTTTATGGTCATTTAAGCCTTTAAAATACATAATTTTTTAAAATATATTTTTATTGATTTCAGAGAGGAAGGGACAGGGAGAGAGGGATAAAAACATTGATGAGTGAGAATCATTGATTGGCTGCCTCTTGCAAGCCCCACACCGGGATTCAAGCCCACAACCTGGGGATGTGCCCTGACCAAGAATCGAACCATGACTGCCTGGTTCATAGGTCGACACTCAACTACTGAACCACAACGGCTGGGCTAAAAAATATATTTTCACTAAGTACTTCACTAGATTTTAATTCCCCACACCCACATACCATATTTATTAAGAGAATAGTTTATATGTTAGTATATTTCCCATTCACTTGCCTAAACTTGTTTTCTTAATAAAAGAAAATAAATTTTCTGGCAAGAGGCCTTAGAGATCTGGCTTATAGACAGTAAATTTCCAAATCTGGGTTTCTTGTGAAGTGTAAGCAAAACCAATGACAGCTTTGGCATTCAAATCTCCTAACAGTAGTATTGTTAATGAATGCTTGGTGTAAGATGAGCAATTGGTTCTAGACATCTACTAGACTCCTTTATACTTGTAAAAATGATTTCTACATTGAGACATAACAAGTATGTCTTATTGAGATATTTATCAGGATTATGAAAAATCCTTTTTTTTTTTTAAAAAAAAATAAATTTTTATTGATTTCAGAGAGGAAAGGAGAGGGAAAGAGAGATAGAAACATCAGTGATGAGAATCATTGATTGGCTGCCTCTTTCATGCCCCACACGGAATTGAGGCAACAACCTGGGCATGTGCCCTAACCGGGAATCGAACTGTGACTTCCTGGTTCATAGGTCAACACTCAACTACTGAGCCACACTGGCTGGACGAAAAGTAAATTTTTTTTTTTAAAATATATTGTTAATGATTTCAGAGAGGAAGGGAGAGGAAGAGAGAGACAGAAACAACAATGATGAGAGAGAATCATAGATCTGCTGCCTCCTGCACAGCCCCTACCGGGATTGAGCCCACAACCCGGGCATGTGCCCTTGACTGGAATCAAACCTGGGACCCTTCAGTCCACAGGCCAACACTCTATCCACTGAGCCAAACTAGCTAGGGTGAAAAGTAAATTCTTAATTGTATATGCCTTATAGCTTGAAAACTGGCTTTCTGTTGTAAAAACAATAGCTACCATTTATTGAACACTTACTGCATTGTTATGAACTTCTTTACATGTATCTCATACTAGAGGCCTGGTGCACGAAATTCATGCACGGGGGTCGGGGAGGGGTGTCCCTCAGCCCGGCCTGAACCCTCTCCAATCCAGGACCCTTCGGGGGATGTCTGAAGGGATCGGGCCTAAACCGGCAGTTGGACATCCCTCCCGCAAGCCGGGACCACTGGCTCCTAACCGCTCACCTGCCTGCCTGCCTGTCTGATCGCCCCTGGCTGCTTTCCCCTGCCGGCCTGATCACCCTTAACTGCCTCTGCCTCGGCCCCTGCCACCGTGGCTTTGTCTGGAAGGATGACCGGAAGATGTCCAGTCGACTGGTCTAATTAGCATATTACCCTTTTATAGTATAATCCTCTCAGCAATCCTATGAAGTTAGTATGTAGTTCATTACAGTTAAGAAATTTAACAAAAATGACATATTTATTAAGTGTTAGAGCAATATTCACATGTAGATATGTAGAACCATTTGACTATAAGATACTTTTTTTATTTTTGTATTTTTTAAATCCTCACCTGAGGGAGAAAGAGAGAGAGATAGATTGGTTGCCTCCCATACTTGCCCCAACCAGGGATCAGACCCACAACCTAGCTATTTGGCCTACACTCGCAAACTTTTGGTGTATGATCAAAACACTGACCAACTGAGCTACCCAGTCAGGGCTATAAAAGGTCCTTCTTACTCTCTCTGTTAATGCTATGTAATAATGGCCCAAGATACCTGCTTATGTTAATAAATTTCAAAATATAGGAAGGGACTTCCTTTTTTGTAACACATTTCACACTTGTAATCACTTGTTACATGTTTTACCTCCATTAGACTTTCTCTTGCTTACACTTTCAGTCTCTCCCCATTCTCTACTGGTTTAGCCCCTCCTCTCTCTCTCTCTACACCCTGTGTAACAGAATCTATCACTCTGCTGTTATATTTACCTATCATGATCCCTGAGTAGATAGACTGTGAGCGTCATGGGGGTGGGCGGGATTATGTCATACTGATCTTTGTATCTCCGGTACCTACCTAGCTCAAGTTCTAGTACATAGTAAGTGCTTAATAAGATGAAATTCCTGTAATTCCACTGTTAAGATATATCTGTTATGTATTTTTTTCTTGTATATCTTACTCCTATAAATTTGGGATCATACTGTACAGACAGTTATGTCTATGATTTTTTTTCCTGTGAGGTTTTCCCCAGATTACATATTCTTTCAAAATATAGGTTTTAAAGCCTTCATGAAGATGTGTCATAATACCTCCCCTTTAAAAAAACAACAACACTGTTACAGAGTTCACATGGAAAAATAAGAATAGAAAGAAAATGAGAGTAATGCTGGCAGGTTTGTTTTCCTGGATAATAAAATATATTGCACAGCTATATTATGTATATTAGCGGCCCAATGCACAAAATTCGTGCAAGGGGCTCGGCCCTCACAGCCCTGGCTTCATCCGGAAGGTCATCTGGAAGGTCGTTCCACTGTTCGGCCATCTAATTAGCATATTATGCTTTCATTATTATAGATGGCACTATCCCAGGAATAAATCAGTGGAATAGAATAGAAATTCTAATAACAGACTGAAATGTATATGAAAGAATTTAGTGTTTAATGAAAGCAGCATTTGGTAGTGGGGAAAGAGTGGATTTTTTCAATAAAGCAGTACTGTATTAGAATTCTAAACTTATTAACTATTTAGACATAAAGTCTAACTTTTGTTATCTTAAACCAGTGTTAAATGAAATCTGACTACAAGTTGTTGTTACAAAAGTATATATGCAAGCCTGTAGGATATCCTAGAAGAGGAGGGAAGGATTAACTTTGAGAATTAGTTGCTTAATCAGGGTAAAGCCAAAGAATGTTTTTCTCTTTTAAAATAAGCCAGTACCTCCTAGAGTTAAAGAAAGGAATTTTGAAGTCTAGAGTAAAAATTTATTCATGACAGTAGGGTGATAGAAACCCAAAAAGGGACCCATATTTTGGAATAAAGGTACAAGTATTAAAAGAGGAGGGGAAAAGAAAAGGTTAAGTATTCTGTAATGACTTAGTGAATTTAAAGAAGAACCTAATCTTGAAAAGCTCATAAGGTCCCCAGGAGGGAGTATAGGGGGAAATGACAGGTAGGGAGTATAATTTTGGTACTACTGTTTAAAGATTGACTAATTCTGTAGTCTAGAAATATAATCAACTACAAAAATGTTGTAATAATCAGGACAAAGAAATGACCAAGTTTTACCAGGTTAGACCTAAACAGTGAAAACAAAGCAAATTCAGGAGACTGATAACAAAGGAGGTAAGAAGAGTAGAATTAAATAGTTAATTCATAAGTTTTCTGGAGTTCCTTAGAAATTCCACTTAAATAGCCATATGATGTGCCCAGTAGAAGCTGGGCAAAGGTGTGTTTTCTTTTACCATCATGTTACTGGGGGTGTTTTCTAGCTTTTAAAATGTGCTCGGGAGAAGGAACAATAGTTGAAATTACAGCTTAGTGTAACATAAGGGATTTTAGTTTTTGCATTTTAGTTTTTGGCAGAAATGATAGATACCTAATTCACAATGTTAAATTTTAGATGGTCTGTCTTCTGCTGATCCCAGCTCTGATTGGAATGCACCAGCAGAAGAGTGGGGGAATTGGGTAGATGAAGAACGAGCCCAGTTCCTGAAGTCCCAGGAGCCAGTTCCTGATGACCAAAAAGTGAGTAAAGGGATTGGTGGGTATGTTTATTTCTTCACACCCAACTATCGTAGAATTATTAGTATATTAATTAGTATATATTATTATAAGTATATCCAAATTGCTTCAGGGAGACATTATGATTGTATTTACTTCAATTATCTTTTGCCTGCATGCCTTCTCTATATCACTGTTGTTTTTTCCCCCCCAACAAATTATGGAGGGCTTTATATGGAAAGCACTATTAGACGCTGATAGGAAAACATACATTTCTTGTCCACTTATCAGAATTACTATAATAGCCTACCAACTCTTAATGTGTTTTAGAAAAAAGTAAATTGGTGTCCAGTGTAAGATTAAGGAAGTCTTCATAGCAGCAGACAAGACTGAGAACATCATGAAAAAGGCACCAAGGCAGGGAAATAGGTAACATGCTTAGTGGAAAGGTAAAATAGTATACAACTGTGGAACCAGCTAGTAATAGGATCAATTATTTACATGTCTGTCTTCCCCCTTCTAGGCTACATTCCTTAAAGAAAGGGCCCATGAAGTTCTTGTTTCTGTAGCTCTAGCAACATGCTTGGCATTCAGAAAAAGGAATAAATAAGTGAAAGAAAAAAAAAAATATATATATATATATATATATATACATGTATATATAAAACATATTAAAAAATATTTTTAAAAGATATACATAAAGTTTATTTTCCTCTCCACCTCTAGCCCTGTCATCATTTATGATAACTGTAAGATTCACATAATTGAACCAATCCACACCTTGAGCTATCAGTTCAGTTTTTTTTTTCTTTTTCTTTTTTTTTTTTTTTTTTTTGAGAGGAAAGGAGAGGGAGAGAGAGATAGAAACATCAGTGATGAGAGAGAATCATTGATCAGCTGCCTCTTACACACTCCACACTGGGGACTGAGCCACAACCTGGGCATGTGCTCTGACTCAACCACTGAGCCACTCTGGCCGGGCAGTAGGAGAGATGTTAATGCAGGGTCGGCAGATTTTTTAATAAAGAGCCACACAGTAGTGCAAAAGTAGCCATAGGCAACACAGAAGTCAACTTTATTTACAGAAACTGGCATTGGGCTAAATTCGTAGTTTATCTACTGCTTTAACATATCTGTAGGCAAAGAGGCAAAGGATCTTAAGTAAAGTTAAATATAAGAGATTTCACTAATAGAATAAGATCCTAGCAATAGAGTTCGGGGAATCTTAGGCACAAGTGGATTGTGGGTTAGCCTTTAATTCGATATATAGTACCTCTCATCTTCAAGGACCAGAGAAAGGGAGATGTCCTTAATGGGATTTACCACTAAGGGTATAAATAAATGTAGAGGGGGGCAGTTACCAGTAAAATCAGAGTCGGTGGGGGGGATAATGAATTTTAGATTGGACCTACAAAAGCTTCCTAGAGTTGCCAAGAGCTGGAGGAAAGAGGGACAAATGGGCAGAGCACAGAGGGTACTTAGGGCAGTGAAACTACTCTGTATGATACTATAATGGTGGATCCGTGTCACTATACATTTGTCCAAACTCATAGAATGTGCAACACCAAGAGTGAGCCCTGATGTTGGCTATGGACTTTGAGTGATAATGGTGTGTCACTGTAGATTCATTGGTTGTAACAAATGTGCCATTCTGAAGGAATGTTGATAATGGGGGAAGGGGGTAGTCTGTGTGTGTGTATGAGGGCAGGGAGTATATGGAAATCTTTACCTTCTGCTCAATTTTGCTGTGAACCTAAAACTGTTAAAAAAATAATAATAATAAAGTCTACATTTCTTAAAAAAGCTTCTTAGTATATAGTATCTTAGCACACAGTAATCATTCTGATACTTATTGAATGTTTAGTGAATGTACAACTAAAAGTCTGTTTCTCTTAACTGGAACTTCCCATGCCTGATCATTAGAATTTAACAGTGGAAACACTGAATAGAGTAAAAACTATCACATATCATAGCAGTTCTTTTTCTGAGTAGATTCAGAGATCATCTTTACATTTCTAAGCAAAAATGGGAAGCCATCTAAATGCCCATTAGTTGGGGAATGGATAAATAAAATGTTTGTACAATGGCATATTAGATTTTTTTAATGAATTAAATAAAGCTAAATTAGTGTATCAATATTACTAAAATCTCAGTAAATGGTGAGCAAGTTTCAGAAAGATACAATAATGATACCATTTGTGCACATGTTGTGTGGGGAGACACATAAATTTATAGAAAAATTGATTAGATGGATACAAAAGAAGTTCATGATAATGATTACCCCTAGGGAGGTAATGTGGGAATGAAATTGAGAAAGGGGTTAAAAGGAATTTTCAGTTTTTCAGAATATTTGAGTTAAAAGATGGTATGGAGTTCATTTCCTCCTTTTTCCCATGAACAAAAAATAGTGTTTTGCCATGCAGAACTACCTTTCTTTTATGGCTGAGTTACAGTTAGCTAAAGCTAAGTGGTACAGCGTTTTGTTTTGTTTTTCTCTCTGATAGTAATTTTGTAAACTATTTGGTGGTTAATGAGACCTCTAAAATCATCCTAATGACTGTGGTGCTGAACAGAAAAATAGCAGGTATCCATATAATCTCTTTCTCTAAGAATAGTCTAGGGATCTTGGCTGTCACCTGTGCAAAATAAACAAAAGACACTTTTCCATAGAAAATTCAACTATATGTGATGTGTGAAGAGATATCATCAGTACTAATAATACTAATTTAACAGTTCTAATTCACTGTTTTTGTCATGCAGAATGTTATTTTCAGTGACTTTCTCAGATTTAATTTTTTAATTAAGCCTTTTCTTTTGAGATGATTAGAAAGTCACATTTACTTGTAAGAAATAATACAGAGCGATCCCCTGTACCCTTTACCCAGTGTCCCTCATTGGTAATATTTTGGAAACTATAGGATAGTATCATCACAACCAGGACTTGGCATTGATGTAGTCAAGATACAGAACATTTCTGTTACTTCATGGATTCCTCAGGTTGCTCTTTTTCATACCATCTTCTCTTCCTTCCTATCTCCACCCCTTTTTCAAATCCCTAGCCAACTAGGAAGTAAGCTGTTCATCATCTCTATAATTTTGTCACTTCAAGAATGTTCTATGTGCCGAAACCGGTTTGGCTCAGTGGATAGAGCGTCAGCCTGCGGACTGAGAGGTCCCAGGTTCGATTCCGGTCAAGGGCATGTACCTGGGTTGCGGGCACGTCCCCGGTGGGGGATGTGCAAGAGGCAGCTGATCGATGTTTCTCTCGCATCGATGTTTCTAACTCTATCTCTCTCCCTTCCTCTCTGTGAAAAATCAACAAAATATATTTAAAAAAAAAATAAGGAATGTTCTATGTAAAGAATTATATAGTATATAACCTTTTGGTACTGTTTTTTCACTGAGCATAATTCTCTAAAGCAGTGGTCGCCAACCTTTCCGACCTCACAGACCACCAGTTGGCAACCGCTACTCTAAAATTTCTTCCAAATCGTTGTATGTATCATTAGTTGCTTCATTTTACTTTTGAGTAGTAGTCCATGCTCTACTCCAGGGGTCCTCAAACTACAGCCCGCGGGCCACATGCAAATACAAATACTGTATTTGTTCCCGTTTTGGGTTTTTTTACTTCAAAATAAGATATGTGCAGTGTGCATAGGAATTTGTTCATAGTTTTTTTTTAAACTATACTCCAGCCCTCCAACGGTCTGAGGGACAGTGAACTGGCCCCCTGTTTAAAAAGTTTGAGGACCTCTACTCAGTTTACAGGCATACCTCGTTCTTATTGCACTTCGCTTTATTGCACTTCACAAATGTTTCATTTCTTTACAAATTGAAGGCAAGACCCTCCACCAGCAAAAAGATTGCAACTAACTTTATTGCAATACTGGCTTAATATTTGTGGTCAGGAACCGAAGCTGCATTGTATCTGAGGTGTGCCTGTATTTAATCGTTCTCCTGGTAAAGGGCATTTGGGTTGTTCCCATTTGGGGGCTGCTATGAATAAAGCTGCTGTATACATTCATGTACCAGTTTTTGTGCAAATATAAGTTTCCATTTCTCTGGAATAAATGCCTAGGAGTACAATCCCTGGGTGTAGTAGGTTCATATTTAATATTTTTTAAAAAACTGCCTGTTTTCCAGAGTGGCTGTATCACTTTATATTTCCACTGATAATGCATGAGTGATCTAATTTCTCTGCATCATTGCAAGCACTTGGCTGTTGTCACTATTTTTTTTCTTTAATTTTTTGTAATTTGATTTTAGAGAAAGAGAGAGAAACATCAATTTGTTGTTCTACTTATTTATGCATGCATTGGCTGATTCTTGTATGTGTCCTGGCCAGGTATCAAATCGACAACTTTGGCATATTGGGATGATGCTCTAACCAATTGAGCTACCTGGCCAGGACCACTATTTTTTATTTTAACCATTCTGATAGGTACGTGGTGATAACTCATGGTAAATTTTTAGTCTGCATTTCCCTAATGGCTAATAATATTGCACATCTTTCCATGTGCTTTTTTGCCATCTGTCTGTCTTCTTTCATGAAATGTCTGTTCATATCCTTGCACATTTTCTACTTAGACTGCTTGGTTTTTTTACTGTTGAATTTTTAGTATTCTTTATATAATCTAGATACAAGTCCTTGGTGGATATATGGTTTGCAAATATTTTCTCCCATTCTGTAGTTTGCCATCCTCTTAACAGGGTCAAATTCAATTTTAATACAAATAGTTCTACATTTAAACTCTTAAATAAAACAGAATTACCTATCTAATGAATTTTTAAAAACCAAGATTTGCACAGCTCTTGTAGTAAGTAGAAAAGATGTAAGGAAAAAGTGGTCAGTCATAGACAATAGGAGAATGAAGTTCCATGTACTTTATTTTTTAAGATGTAATTTTAGATCAGTTTTATTGCTTGTTACTAATTCTTATTTAGTATTTAAATAAAGACTAACCCTAATAAATGAAATTATTTCATAATATTTTTTAGAATAATGAGAACTAAATCAGTTGGTTCACTTTAACACTTTTGCTTTTAAAATTAGGTTTCAGATGATGATAAAGAAAAAGGAGAGGGTGCTCTTTCAACCGGGAAATCTAAAAAGAAAAAGAAGAAAAAGAAGAAGCAAGGTGAAGATAACTCTCCTGCACAGGTAGAATATCAAAATAACAAGCTTCATTCAGTAAGCACCTACTGCAGAAATGTGAAAAGAAAATGCTAAGACTCTGTAGAGATAAAAGACATCAAATTTATTTTAAAATTCCCTAAATGTTTTAAAGATTTTATACATCATACTGTTAAAAAAAAAAAAACCTTTGTGCTTTAAAAAAAAAAAAATCCAAGTTGTAAACCCAAAAGTAAGTAAATAAAATTCTAAATTAGTCCAGATGCATTTTGTGCTGAAATAGAAAAGGAGGTTCCTACAGCATTTCACACCTACAGAAATTCTAACTTTCTGTTGCTCCTCCATTTTCCTTTTCTTTGGTCTTTCCTATCTGGGGGAAAATGTTTTCGATTATAATGTAGATCAGTGGTTCCCAATGTGGGGCACACTCCCCACAGGGGGGCAATGTCATTTTTTAAAAATATATTTTATTGATTTTTTACAGAGAGGAAGGGAGAGGGATAGAAAGTTAGAAACATCAATCAGCTTCCTCCTGCACACTCCCTACCAGGGATGTGCCTGCAACCAAGGTACATGCCCTTGACCGGAATTGAACCTGGGATCCTTCAGTCTGCAGGCCAACGCTCTATCCACTGAGCCAAACCGGTTAGGGCGGCAATTTGATTTTTAAGGGGGACAATTTGAGAATGAGTTATTAACAGTGAGTTTTTTGCATTTCTTATGGTTCTAGGGGCCTCATATACAGTATATAAATATATATTGTGGCATATTTATGCATTTCAGTTATCATATGGCTTTGAAACTTTGCTACTTTTTCATATCACATCATTTTTTTTAAAACAATTTCTTAGTGAGTTCTTCCTCAGTACTTCAACTGTCCTTTCGTTCTTTTATTTTCCTCTTTCATGGATGCCATGTTTTTTGGAAGCTTGTTTAGACCAAGTTACGGCCTTTTAGTCTTCTGCCACTTGAATAGGAGTTCACTTTTTGAAGAATAGAATTATGTCACAGGGGAGGCATCAGGATTTTAGAGATGTTTAGGTGAGGCATGGCCAAAAAAAAGGTTGGGAACCACTGATATAGATGAAAACAAAAATATTTTAATTTCAGACATGCTATATTACTGGAAATATACATGGGTTTATTTTATAAAATATACTTATTGATGTAGAGAGAGAGGAAGGGAGAGGGATAGAGAGATAGAAACAACCCAGCTATGTGCCCTAACCAGGAATTAAACCGGTAACCTCTTGGTTCATGGGTTGATGCTCAACCACTGAGCCACACGGGCTACATGGATTTTTTTAATTTTTACTTTAATCCTCACCTGAGGATATTTTTCCATTGATTTTTAGAGAGAGTGGAAGGAAGAGGGAAAGACAGAGAGAAACACTGATGTAAGAGAAACACATCCTGCCGAAACCAGTTTGGCTCAGTGGATAGAGCGTCGGCCTGCGGACTGAAGGGTCCCAGGTTCGACTCCGGACAAGGGCATGTACCTGGGTTGCAGGCACATCCCCAGTAGGAAATGTGCAGGAGGCGGCTGATCGATGTTTCTCTCTCATCGATGTTTCTAACTCTCTATCTCTCTCCCTTCCTCTCTGTAAAAAATCAATAAAATATATTTAAAAAAAAAAAAAAAAGAGAGAGAAACACATCGATGGGTTGCCTCCTACACGTGCCCTGACCAGGGCCCGGGTAGGGGAGGAGCCTGCAACCAAGGTACATGTCCTTGACTGGAATCGAACCTTGTACATGGCTGGGCAGGCCAACGCTCTATCCACTGAGCCAAACAGGCAAGGGCTGGATTTATTTTTGAAAGCAGCATATCACCATTACATTACAATATATGAAAATCTCATTTCTTATTTACAACTATGCTAAATAATTGTTTTCATTCATCTAAATGTAGGAGGTAGCCAAAACTCTTAGAGGATAGCCTACAAATAATTTTCCTATTCTATTTTGGGGAAAGTTGCTGCATGACTTTTTTTTTTCTGCATGACTTTTTAAGGAAATATGTGTTTAGTGCTTTTTTGTTGAGGGAAACACAACCCTTCATAAATGATACCAATTTATTATCACTATTAGTTTTTTCTCTGTAGTAGTAATTGGTGGGCAATATGTCTAATGTGACTAAGATCAATGGATATAAAAATCTAAAAGTTGATAGTTTTTTCTGTTTGCTAAGCTAACTGATGTGAAATGTTATTGACAACTATCCTTTGTTAGCAGTACCACATGAAATCCATTTAGCCAACTTTGTCTGGATTTGTGTGTTAATTATGGCCTTCCTGGGCTTGTAGATTAGGTGAGTTCCTTTTAAAAGAAATTTTGAGAGATTAATGTATTTGTAAATTTCAACTTATTAGAAAAGGTCATTGTGAAAGTTCTTTGGTATTTTGATGATATTCCTTTTTTAAAAAGTTTGATCTGTTTTTTTAAATACAGTGAAGCCCGGCCAGCATGGCTTAGTGCTTGAGCATCAACCTATGAACCAGGAGGTCACGGTTTGATTCCTGGTCAGGGCACATGCCCAGGTTGCAGGCTCAATCTCCAGTGGGGAGGGCATGTAGGAGGCAGCCGATCAATGATTCTCTCATCATTGATGTTTCTCTCTCTCTCCCTCTCCCTTCCTCTCTGAAATCAATGTGTGTGTGTGTGTGTGTGTGTGTGTGTGTGTGTGTGTGTGTGTGTGCATGCCTAAGCAACTGTTGGACTGGTAGCTATGATGCGCACTGACCACCAGGGGGCAGATGCTCAACACACAGGCATGGAAACATGGAACAGACTGATGAATCTCAGAGGGAAGGGTGGAGGGAGAGGACGGGAAGAGATTAACCAAAGATCTTATATGCCTACTAGAGGCCCGGTGCACGGATTCATGCATAGGTGGGTCCCCTCAGCCTGACCTGCGGGGATCGGGCTGAAACCGGCCCAAAGGGTCCCAGATTGCAAGAGGGCGCAGCTCAGGCTGAGGGACTCCACCGATGCGCCTCTAGTAAGTACATAACAGTTTTAGAGTCAGACTTTTCTTCAAATTTTAGTTTCTTTATTGTTTAAATGTGGTATCCATGAGGTTCTGTATGAAGTATATAGCACATGATCCTACCTATAAATGAATACATTTTTAAATTTGTTCTTTTTCAGTAAAATTCTATTTAGTTTATGGTATGTGGTTGGTGGGTTTTTTACTGTTGAGTTCAGCTTAGCATAGAACAAACATGTCTTCTCACTAACTTTGTACAGATTGCAAATCGTAACATACATACTTTCAAAGCTACTTGCTTAACTTAAACTTTTGAATAATTGTTTTTTATATGCTCCTTTAAGCTGTATGAACAGTTTCTGAACTAAAGTTATTTTTTGGAATATCTTCTGGACATTAGTACAACAAACCAAATAGATTTTAAATAGTAAAAATGGGTGATTTATATAATCTAATAGACTACTTTTCTCTCTAGGACCCAGAAGAATTAGAAAAAGAGATTAGAGAAGAGCCTCCAGTGAATACCTCTAAAGTCCGTCCAAAACAGGAAAAAGCTTTTTCTTCGAAAACCATAAGCACTAGTGATCCAGCAGAAACACTCATCAAAAATAGCCAGGTGATTTTTTGATATTTAAGAAGTAAAATTTTAATGACTTGAGAATTATATTATAATAAATATTTTATTAAAGTATTGTGCTAAGTATTTAAAATGCTCAAAATAATTTATTCCTCACAAAATCACAAGAAGGTAAGACCCATTTTGTAAATGAGGTTAGAGAAGTTGAGTAAACTTGTCCAAAGTCACATAGCTATCAATGGCAAAATCAGAACTGCTAGTGTGTATTTTCTCCTATTAACTATCTAGGCACACAGGGATCAAGAGATAGCTTAGAGAAAATGTGACTGGTTGCTTTTCCAAAGCATGCACATAATATGATTATGGTCCAACCTCTCAAAATGGAGCATTTATTAAATTTGGTAACGTTCTTAAAACATGTGCCTTTTGTGGAAATTTTTGATGTGTCAGAAGGCACCATTTTACAAAAGGTCTAAGTCACTGACACAGACTGATTTATATTTAGGTGAATTGCATCATGTTGAAATATATTAAATTCTACTGGAGTTGAATGGTTCATTTATTTACTCATTAAAAAAAATATATTGGGTACCATATGCCACACACTGTTTTAGATTCTGGGGATACATCCGAGAACAAAGGAAACAAAAGCTAATCTCTGCCTTTGTGGAGTTTACTTGCTTAACGAAACAGCTTTAGACAAGAACCGGGATTACCACTAAGAGAGAGAATTCATAACTGTCTTGTTCTAAAACACAAACCATTCTTCCTATTTGAATTGGGTGCTTTTATTTCCCTGAGAGTACTTGGAGATAAAAGGATGCAATCTCAACACATTTGTAGGTTTAATAGGGCTACAAAGGGTCATTTGACATTCTGATGTTTTGCTTAAATTATTTTCAGAAGCCATCTTGTAAAGAATATTAATGTAGATAAGTGAGAGAACAGAGGAGGAAAGGAGATTAAAAGTAAGTAGTGAAACCATTGGGTATGAAATAAATACAGGGAACCTTAAGAAAGTTGAACGGAACCATAATGCTGCTTCAGATCTCTGAAATAGGAAGAACCCCAGCAGTTATCTGGGCACACACAGCTCCCTCCTTTTGTTTCCTTTTCCTTGGTGCTTTCTTGAACCCAAGAAGCCTGAAAGCACAAAGGGCAGGAGAAACATTACTTACCCTGGTTTCTATCTATACTAATAAAAGCGTAATATGCTAATTAGACCGAACGACCTTCTGGACGTCATTCTGGACAAAGCTGCAGAGGCAGAGGCAGTTAGGAGCAAATAGGCTGGCAGGCAGAGGCGGTTAGGGGTGATCAGGCAGGCAGACAGGTGAGCCATTAGGAGCCAGCGGTCCCAGATCGTGAGAGAGATCCCAAATTGGAGAGGGTGCAGGCCAGGCTGAGGGACACACACACATACAACCCACCCCCACCCCCGGTGCACAAATTTCGTGCACCAGGCCTCTGGTATTCAAAATAATCACAGGTAAAGCTAAAGGGTGAGATGATCTCTTACTCATCTGTTAAAGCCTCAGGGAACTCCAGATATTGGAGATTCTATTACCTGGTTTTGACAGTTCACTGACTTCAGGGAGGCAAATCATTTTAACTCCTTTCTGCTCATGGGTTGAAGAGGAGAAGCAAGGCTCAAGAGTCTAGGCCCTAGGCATTATATCACCACTAAACTGGATAAAACTTGGAAGATTTGGACCTGAGTTTAAGTTGCTTTAATTGGCAGAACTAATAGCCATAGTCAGCTTTTGCTTGAGGTCATCTATTTCCTTAGGTAAGAAACTGAAGCTATTGCTGCTGCTGTTTGAGATACACCTATCTCTTGAAAAGGAGAAAGGGGGATATCGCCTACTGGTAGTTCTGAAATTAGCGATTTTCTTTTTGTCTTTCACATGAAAAGGTTTTGAGTTGAGTTGGTGGGAAGTGGACAGAACCATTGAATTGCTAACAAATATAAAATCATGCAATTTAAAAGTTAATGAAAATTATTTACTCCTATTTGAGATTCAGTAAACATCTTGTAATTTCAAATCTTCATTTTTATCTCAACCTGTATTTGTAGGTAAAGATATATTCAGTTTTGTCACTAGAGGGCAGGCATGAGTTGTGCTTCTGAAAACCATTTTTGTATTTAGTTGCTGCTAAACAGCCTCTTATTATATTTAATTTTCTTTGAAATTTCGTACAAAAAACTTAAAATAATTGTATTCCAAAATAGCCTATCAAGACTCTTCCACCTGCTGTTTCTACCGAGCCATCTGTTATTTTATCAAAAAGTGATTCTGACAAGAGCTCTTCCCAAGTGCCACCGATGCTACAAGAGTCAGATAAATCCAAGTCAAATACTAAGCAAAATAGTGTGCCTCCTTCACAAAGTAAGTCATCTCATTTTTGGTTCTTTAGTGTGCTCTCTGTACTGTTTATAAGTGTTACTATCTTAAAAGCCTAAGATATTTAGACTTCTGATCGTAGTTTTTAGTTGATTTTTTTTTGTAGGGAGAGGAAAAGAGAGAGAAACGTCAATGATCGATGTGTGAGAGGAATATCATTGACTGCCTCCTGCCTAGCTCCTACTGGGGATCGAGCCTGAAACCTGGGCATGTGCCCTGACTGGGAGTTGAACCAGCAACCTTTCAGTGCACAGGACGATGCCCAACCAACTGAGCTACACTGGCCAGGGCAGAGGGTGCACACGTTCTTGAAATTGCAGGTTGTTCATCATTCTTCTAGATCAAAACTGGTTAAAAAAAAAAAAAATGTCATTCATATGGTTAAACCAAATAATACATTGAAATTGAAAGAAAAAGAGGAAGGCAGACATAGAATAACCTAAAACATGTAACTAGAACTTGAAAACTTAAACATAAAATCTAAGGCATTCTTAGTGGCTTTCAAAGCATGTTTTCATTGGAGCTACTTTTATATTTTTGAAACATAACAGTATTTACTATCCTCCTAACTTTTCTCTCTCCTGTTTTTTTGTTTTGTTTTAATTTTTGTTTTATTTTCTCTTTCAGCCAAGTCTGAAACTAGCTGGGAATCTCCAAAACAAATAAAAAAGAAGAAAAAAGCCAGGCGGGAAACGTGAATTTTCTTTTCCTGAATAGGACATGTGTTTGCAGACACTGTCTTGAAGATTATGCTGTTTATGCAATAATTTGTGAACATGTACAGAGTTTTATATAAATTTAAACCAATTTTTAAGACAAAACTGTGAACACAACCACCATAAAAATGGAATCAAAGGAAAGTTAATTTATGAAATTAAGAGGTCAGCAGAATATATATACTACATTGCTGGAAGACACTTGGGAAAGTCTTTTCAATTTAATGAGAACGTTCTTAATTCAAGAATATTATCCTGGTTTTACAACAGTGCCCTGTTTACAACAGATTGTGCCCTATTTCTTCTGCAACTGAGGAATAAAGGATTCTGATTAGAGAGAGGGTTACCTACAAATTCGTAGGCAACTTCTCGGACCTTATGCACGGAACTTACACCATTCGAATCTGTTTTATGCTTAAATCAAAGTGCTTTGATCAAATGCATAATCTGCCATATCTTTACATATTTGTTGGTAGCAATTTGTATTAAAGGAATCACAAGTGCAAATAAAAAGTCATTTATCATTTATTTAACTAAACTGTCATGGTTTAGTTTACAATTTTTAAAAAGTTCTTAATTGAAAATGCAGTTGACACATGGCTTACGAACTTATTTTTGATAGTCTTACATTACTTGAATTGTTCAAAGTACAATATATTTTAAATTAAGAATGGTAAACTGTATGTCTTTGTTTTATACTTTCAAAGATGAGACTCATAAATAATGCTCTTGTTTATGATTTGAAAACTTTCAAGCAAAATGTAACTTACATTTTTCCTTTCCCTAGCAATTTTTTCCAGTGTCATCTCTTCATTACTAACACTTTTTGACTATAAAAATGAAATCTTTACAAACTAGTTCTACAGACAGAACTTTGAGTATATGATGGAGAATGGAAACCTAGAGTCAGACAGCTTTAATTGACATTGTCAAGACCTCCAGTTATCAGGAATACATTTTTTACTGCCTTAACCTGTAGTGCGTAGAATATGCATCAATTTCTTGAAGGGGATTCGTGTTTTTATAAGATTTTTCCTGTAATTATTGCAATCATGGTCAAATAAGGAATGTTTCCTGCTTGAAACTATTAATTTAAATGCTGTGGGAAGCTGTTTCACCATTTCAGGCACTGTGTAATTCTATTGTGATAAACTGGCAGGTATCTTTGTAACTATAAATAGTGCATGCTCAGCCATGTACACTGTAAATAGCCTTTACCAAACGTGTTTGACAAGGACCATAATTAACATCACTTAGTGAATTGTGATAAAGAAAAAAGCCATGATTTATTTGATGTGATTGGCTTAATTGTTTTTATGTGGCGCCAAGAATGAAACTGTTTAGCTGTAACCAATGGTACTGATCTATCCATCCAGCGTGTCTTTATTCTCTTTGATTGTGATTTGATAGTATTGCATTGTCAGTCTAGGAAAGCTAAAGAAACAAAATGGTTTTAGTTTTGCTGAAGACTGGCCTTATTAATGGACAGCTTTCCTAACACACGATTATTAACCCTTATCGGGTGTTAACATCTGTTTCAGGAACACGGCAGTATGTTTACATGTCAGAAGTTTTGTTTATGATATTTCTAAATTGATTTGTTTTAAATAAATTCAGCAAATGGATAGCATTGTTTTTATTTGCTTCAGTATTGGGATAAATATGCTAACGTGCGAGGAATAGATTTCTTCAAATGACTTTATTCTGTTAGCTTTTCACATAGATGATTCCTAAGTAGATCTAAGGATTCCTATGTTGCCAGCACTTTGTAAAGGTCTGACAAAGGAGCATTCAGTAGGGTGTCTAATTTTAGGATGTGCCAAAAGATGTGTGCTCAAAAAACTTAATTGAACTCTCTCAACTCTACCTCACCATTTCTTTATCCTAGAATTTTGTTGGCTATGTCAAGTGTTGGACTTTGTTTCTCCAGTTTAGTATCTCCCAGTCAACCATTTATGCCAGGTGTCAAAGACACTGTCTTTTAAGGAGAAATGAAGTGTGGAGGTGGAAAAGTAAGTTTATTCTCGTTCACATGCATGAGGTGCAAACTCCTGCACAATTACAGTATTATTCTTGCTTGTTCTTTACCTGTCCCAGAAGTCTTTATGTGACATGAAAGGAGTTTCTCGAATCTGAACGCAGGAACTGTTCCCCATCATCAACTCAGAAAGCAAAAAATCAAGTAGTGATTCAGGGAGGAGGGGGAGAGAGAGGAGCCGATTGTCCCCTGGATCTTGGATTAGTTGCTCCCCAAACTGTCAGGAGGGAGATGACTGATCCCTCTGGCCTGGAGGGCACCTTGTTCTGAGGAGCAATTAAGGCTCCTGAAGAAACTACTTCAAAATCGTCCTAATTCCTTCTGTCTCCGCACACTGAAAATTCCTCCCTGTTCTGGACCAGGGAGTAGTGGTTTAGGGTTTTCCCAGGCGGAAACCTCATCTAACTATACTCTGGACTAAGTGAAACAGTTGAGAGAGTCCAAAAAGTATTAAAATAAAACATCATTAATGTAATTTACCATGTTTACTTTGTGCATGCATTCTGTTGGGGGGGACAGTGAAAATAATACATTCAAATCTAATGGTATTATTTCATAGACTAGTCCAGTTTGTATTTGGTTAAAAAATATTGAAGGGCAATATTTAACTACAGAGTTTAGTTTTTCTTCATTAAAAACTGTCCTCTATTAATATAAGGTCTTTCAAAACTTAGAAATTGGGTTTAAGATGTCTAATACATGTCTTAAGTCTTTCCTGTAAACTCATTGCACAAACTGGAATTATTTTCCAAAAGACTTAGGGAATGCAAATATGTTATTTGTAAAATGCATTGAGTATTGTAAATAAAGCCATTTTTGTTTTGTTTAAATTGCTCATTCTAGATCTCTTATGGGGAGGGACTTCTCAGTCATTTTGCATCTTAAGCTAGTATAAAATCAATTACTTTTTGATGTTCTGGATGTTTCTGTCTAAAACCATAGGTGCACTTGCAGGTTTTACCAGTCAAATATTTGGAGTTAAGCACCTCTTAGAATGTCCATCAGTCGTATCAACCTTTGAGGTTAAGGAGTTGACTCTCATTTGGCATGTGTTAGCTTGGCCGTGTCCCCCAACAATAACAACTTAAATAAGATAGTTTATTTCTCTCGAATGGAAAGTCTGGCTCAGGGCTGCAGAGTTGTAGCAGCTGGAAATGTCCTATCAGCATCTCTGCCCCCTTTAAGAACAGGTCTTACAAATCATTCACATCACATAGGCTTATCAACATGAACTTAATCACGTGATTCCTAGCTACCAAGAGGGATGGAAAAGAGTCTTTATTCTGTGTTGTCATTGGCCAAATGAACATTTCAGGATCCATTACTGAGGAAGCAGCGGAGAATTGGGTGTGAGGCACAGCTAGTTGTCTCTGTCTAAGGATTGACATACACTAGGTAGGTTGTACCCAAGCATCATTTTTAAGATCAGGTTTTAGCTTATCCAACTGAGTGGAAAGTTTGACATCTCTTAGATGCTGCTTTAAGAAGCAGCTAATAATTTATATGTAGTATGTTCTGGGAGAAATTTCTTCTGCTCATTGAAAGCTTTAAATTTCAGAGAAAAGCTGAAAGAAGTAGCCTATCACACATATACTGCAAGTATGAGAGTGTAACTAGTTTCAAGAATTATTGAAACTGGCGTGTAAAATAATCTTTAAAGTAATCTTTTAAAAAGGCATTACTATTTTCTAAATAATTTAACAGGAGAGTAATTTCTAACCCTAGTATCAAGACAGGTATATGAGGTGCATTGTAAATGTTTGTTGACTAATCATTACAGTATTGAGGTTTATGAACAGGCTAATTTGAAGAAAAAAGCAAATTCAAGGTCATCCCCATCATAATGGCATTCTTATTTGTATATGTGTGCTTTCCTTTTTTATTTATTGTATCAAAACCTTTAAAATGAATATATGTAACATGTATATAAATTATAAAGCATAATAAAATGAACACCTAAAACCACCATTCTGCTTAAGAAATAGAACATTACCAGTGGGATATTGGGGGTGAACTTGGCTTTTGTTGTTTGGTAGCAGGATCCAAAAGGGAAATCCAGGGATGAAAATAGCTCTCAATGCCCCAGCTTGTCCAGGTCCCTCTTGGTGCCGGAACTGGCTAAGGGTCTCCAGTGACATGTAGCCTCCTCGTGGGCAGCCTCCCTGGTGCCCCTCCTCAAGTCAGACTGACGTTTTGGGAAATGGTGCTACTTGGGGAAGACGAATGCACGTGGATTGTGCCCCAGAGTCGTGTGGTGCACAGGGCAGCCTTTCCATGGGGAAGGAGGATGACGAGGCAGAAGAGCAGCAAGTACCCTGCTTCGGGGCAGGTTCCTCGTGAAGTTTGTTGAGAGTCTGCAGACCTCCTGACAAATGCCACAAGGGGGGTCATGGCAAGACAGCTGTTAGTCACTCAAGATGGGGGAAGTATGGGTGATCTATTTCTCTTCTAAATCTTCTGTAAGTAAATACATATATGGGATTACCAGGAAAAGTTGCTACTAGTCCCATTTCTTAACAAAAGTGAAATGATCACAACAATGAAAGATGGAAGAAAACCTGCCTGAGACTGGAACAAGGGAAGGAGGCATTTCTGTCGTTAGCAAATAAAATCCAGGAAATTATCAAAAGGTGCAAGTGTCAGCCCGTATCAGAAACTCTGTTAACATTTTATCACAAAATTAAAACAGAAAAGGTGATCATGTCACTGCTAAGTAAGTTTTTTAAAAATTCAGTCATCCAAATCTTAGATTTTTTTTTTTAAACTTTAAGTGAAATACTAAAGTCATCTGATTAAAATCATATCAAGGCAGGGTTACCTGCTAGCCAGCATTGTCTTAGAGGTGTGTTGGGAAAATTTCCCAGGGCCTAAAGAACAAAGAAAGGGGCTGACAACTCCATCATTAATTATATCAGGAGTTTATTAAAGGAACTTACATACAAGGCACATGGCAGACGCTAAAGAATTCTATAGAATAGGCAAGATAGATAGGGTCCTGGTGCTTGACCCAGCCCAGATAAGGGGAAATACCTGACACACTGGCTGAGATCTGGGCAAAGGCCTGCGCCAGGAACCAGCGTGGGCGTTGGGGGGAGGGTTCCCACAGTCAGGCTCGGGCTGTGTGGGAAGCAATCTTGGTTCCGGCTAGGATCCATCTCCAGGGTCCTGCAGTGGTCACTTAATGGAAGTCTCTCCTCCACAAGAGGGATTAACACGAACATTGAAAAATTAGTATAACAAAAATTTTTTTTCCTGATTGTGTACAAGCTAGAATGCTGCCAGCACAGGGAAGAGAATACACTGGAGTGGCTGATACTCAAAAAAACAAAAGAGGCCAGCCGGCATGGCTCAGTGGCTGAGCGTCAACCTATAAACCAGGAGGTTTGATTCCCTGTCAGGGCACTTGCCCGGGTTGCAGGCTTGATCCCCAATGGGGGGCGTGCAGGAGGCAGCCAGTCAATGATTCTCATCCTTGATGTTTCTATCTTTCCCTCTCCCTTCCTCTCTGAAATCAATAAAAGATATATATTTTATAAAACAACTCGAAGAGCTTTCTGAATTGGAATAAGCACCCAAAAAGAGAAATTGGGGGGTTGGTGGAGTGGGGGGAAATTCCGATTACATCACAATGAAATCTATCATATCTAGAAATAAATTTTCAAGAATGACAAGACCATGTGAAAACTGTGAAGTCTTACTGAAGGACAGAAACCAATATGACATGAAAAACTGCCGCATTCTTTGTTTGGAAAACAAAATACCAATCTTCCCTAAGTTAACATACAAATTGAGTTCAGTTTTAATTAGAAAGCAATAGATTTTTTTTTTAAAGTACCTCACAGATTATGAAAGCAAAGTATTTGGAAAAAATCAGGTAAGAAAAAGTAGTGGGCAGCAGCAGGAGATGGGTGGGGACTAGCCTTAAGAATACCAGATATCAGGCCCTCGCCGGTTTGGCTCAGTGGACAGAGCGTCTGCCTGCAGACTAAAGGGTCCCCCGGTTCAATTCCGGTCAAGGGCACATGCCGGGGTTGCGGGCTCAATCCCCAGTAGAGGACGTGCAGGAGGCAGCTGATCAATGATTTCTCTCTCATCATTGGTGTTTCTATCTTTCTCTCCCTTCCTTTCTGATATCAATAAAAATATATTTAAAAAAATAACACCGGTATCAGATAAAATATGAAATTGCTTGTTACCTGTCAGGATTCTTACCAGTAGTTGTGAAACCCTTTGGCTAGTTTAAACTGGAAGGGAATCTGGAGGCACCAGAGGTGCAGGTCCTTACTCCCACCCCAGAATAGGGTGTTAGCCACCCAGCCACATTCAGAAGCTGCTCGAGCCAAAACCATCCACCCACAGGCTCCTGCCAGGAGGACTGCCCGCCGGCTCCGCCCCTGCTGCCTCTGCCCCAGGAGCTCCCCACCAGCGTCCGCACTGGCTCTGCTCAGGCTTCCGATGACCTCACTCCTTTCTTTGTTGGTGTTTGGCAGAAGCAAGTCAAATCCATGTCTGTCCGAAGCAAGGGGTTACTGCAGGTTGAACTTTGGCCATGTGGGGAACGCCAAACAGATAGGATATTCAAAATTCAATTACGGAGCAGCCGAAACCTAACTAGTGTCCTTCCTCTACACCCATACAACAAGTTATCAACAAAAGGACAGTCAAATAGGTCCAGAGAACAGTGTAAGGACCCAGAAATAGCTTCCTATTTGCATAGGAATTTTGTATACAACTTAGGTAGTGTTTTAGTTCAGTGACTTGTGGTGGTAAACACACAATATACAGGTGATGTGTTGTAGAATTGTACACCTGAAACTTGTGTGATTTTATCAGCCAATGTCACCCCAATAAATTCAATTTAAAAACAAGAAAGGCATGCCCTAACCCAGTGGTTCTCAACCTTTCTAATGCCGCGACCCTTTAATACAGTTCCTCGTGTTGTGGTGACCCCCAACCATAAAGTTATTTTCGTTGCTACTTCATAACTGTAATTTTGCTACTGTTATGAATCATAATGTAAATATCTGGTATGCAGGATGTATTTTCATTGTTAAAAATTGAACATAATTAAAGCATAGTGATTAATCACAAAAACAATATGTAATTATATATGTGTTTTCCGATGGTCTTAGGTGACCCCTGTGAAAGGGTCGTTCGACCCCCAAAGGGGTCACGACCCACAGGTTGAGAACCGCTGCCCTAACCGGTTTGGCTCAGTGGATAGAGCGTCGGCCTGTGGACGCCCCAGGTTCGATTCCATTCAAGGGTATGTGCCTTGGTTGCGGGCACATCCCCAGTAGGGGGTGTGCAGGAGGCAACCGATCAATGTTTCTCATCTATGTTTCTAACTCTCTATCCCTCTCCCTTCCAATAAAATATATTAAAAAAACAACAACAAGAAAGGCAGTGAACAGATGTTTTATTTACTTATTTATTTTTATATCTTCTTATTGATTTCAGAGGGGAAGGGAGAGGGAGAGAGAGAACCATCAATGATGAGAGAGAATCATTGATCAGCTGCCTCTTGCACACACCCTATTGGGGATCGAGCCCCCGCAACCAGGCATGTGCCCTGACCAGGAATTGAACCATGACCTGCTGGTTCATAGGTTGACACTCAACCACTGAGGCACACCGGCCAGGCATAGATAAGTTTTTATTATTATTTTTAAATAATTCTTTATTGTTGAAAGTATTACATATGTCCCCATTTTCCCCCATTAACCCCCTTCAGCCCGCCCCCGCCCCTCCCCCAGGCCTTCAGCACCCTATATTGTCTGTCCATGGGCACACATATATGCATCCAAGGTCTTTGGTTGATCTCTTCCCACCCACCCTCCCCCGCCTTCCCTCTATAGATAAGGTTTTAAATAAATGGAACTGCAAGTAACAAAATCTTCCAATGGCTTTAGCCTCTCCATGTCACCATGCAGCCTCCTTTATAAATTAAGACCTGGGCACCCATTACAAAGTGAGTCATTACTTGGAAGTGAACTATTTTCTCAGCCAGCAGGCGGAGGGAGAATGTCTTTGGGAAATCTGTACAGAGAGGATGGCAGCTGGGGGCTTTCACGCCACACCAGACCTTACATCTAAGGTCCTGGGGCCAGGAAAGCTGCATGGTGCTTGGTAACTCAGCTCACGCCAAAAAGCTATTCTGCATACCTTTCTGCAATATCCAACGTTCAAAGGAAGACAGTACAGTGTTGCAAAGATTCCAGGAAAGGGAGTTAGAATTTATATCCAGCCCTGATTATTCAATCCTTCACTTCTTGGGGGCTATAAAACTTAAAAGGGAAGCGTGACACGTAGCATCTCTAAAGAGGAAATTGGGTTGATAATGAGGATATTTAAAATCCCCAGTCTGCCCTTGTTTCAACCAGAGGCTCAGCTGAGATTTATTAAACACTTACTGTAAAAAGCCTGGGATTAAACTCGTCTGGAGGAAAAAGCAAGGTGAGCCCAGCCAGGCTTAGATCTGCTGCCAGGAATTTATTATGAACCCAGTGAAAGACCATGTCTCTCAGCCCAGCACCGTCTCTGGCACCTAGAACTAGTACCGAGCCTGATTAGAGGCTCAGAAAAGTATTGTTCAATGGCTACATAAGTACAAATCCAGGTCAAGTGTGTTGCCCGTTTAATAAAGAAGGCAGCTTCACTAACAAGGCAGACGTGTCTCTGTTCCTCATAGTGGACAAGCCGCACCCCTTCTGCAGTCCTGAGTACCTGCGATGTTCGAGGCATCGTGTTAGGGGCAGGGATGCCACAGTCACCAAGAAAACATGACAGACCCACCTCTCATCTTACCAACGTGCCCCTAGAGCGACGACAAGCAGCAGGTAGCTGAGTGACAAGAAGATAAACGCTAGCCGAAACCGGTTTGGCAGGGGAGGTGACCGGGACAGAACCCTGATTTCTTTGGGACGACACCCACCCTCTTCACCTCCTCTGGAACCAGTGGTGGGC